CCAGGCTCCTTGTGACAAGGATAGCCCCACTGTCCACCGCCATGTCTTGGGCTCACCCCTCTTCACCCATCACTCCTCGGTACTAGGGAACCTGCTGCCCTCCCCAAGTTTCCAGCTAGCACTGTCTTTTGACCTCACTCCCTGTCCACCTGAGGCCACAGCTTCCCTGATGCCCCCTCCAGTCCAGTCTCTGCAACAGGTGCTGGCATCTGCCGCCCAGGCTGAAGGCTGAAGCCTGCCTTCAGGGCCACATCCATCTCTGGAGGTCCGGGTCTGGTCTCTAACTTTCCCTTCAGGCTCAGAAACTCCTGGCAGCCTGCCAACCACTCGCTTGGCTGCTTCTGTCCTCCATTCCTCTGCTAACACTGTCCCCTTCCTGGAGTGCTTTCCCACTCCCCAAAAGTCCTCATCTGTTACACAGCTGGAGGGTTACCACCTCCGTGAAGCCCTCCTGGAAGCCCTCTCTCACTGGGAACCTCCGCTCCTCGGCTGGCCCTGTCTCCGAGTCCTCTTTGGAGCCACACGCAGCTGTCTATGCTCAGCCAGGACAGTGCTTCTCTTTCACGTACTTTCTCCCTCTTCCACGTTCGCTCACCGTTCTTTTTAACCTCGAGCCATCCCCAGCCACATGCTCCTCCACAGCTCCGCACCCTCCGGACGCGGCCATCACCCATGAGCCTCGGAGGATGGGGTCCTCTGGGGGTGAGGCGGAGAAAAATGAACGCAAGAGCCGCCGGTTGTAGTGGTGGGACCCGGCTGCGGGCTGGGGAGCGGATTTACTCCACAACCTCGATAAACAGGAAAACACCTGTTCACACTGGCGGTGTTTTATGTCCTGCCAGCATCCAGCAGGGGGCGGGCGACTCAGGGGACCCCGAGGAAGGGAACGAGGGGAGGAAAGAGGAAATGGATTTACAGGGCCTCACCCTCGCCAGAACGCATTCCTTCACGCCCTCCTTCCCGTCCTCATTCTTTTTGCGTTCTGCCGCGCCCGGCGCCGGGGTCTGGAAGCGAGCGGAGACTCGGCCTCCAGGGAGTCTAGCCTCCGCCCGGGCCCCGCCCTCAGCCCCGCCCCTGCCAGGGCCACGCCCAGGGTCACGCCCTCCTCTCCGCCCCTCCCCGCCTCCGCCCGCGTTCGTCCGGCGCCTGCGCAGTGAGGCCACGTGATGCCCGAGGCCCCGCCTCGCGCGCCCCGCCCCGCCTCCACGAGTGCGGCCTCAGCGTGCGGCGGCGACAGGTGAGCTGCAAGCGCTGGACGCCGGGTTTCTCGGCACGGGGCCGGGGCCGGGCTCGGGCCGGGTGCACAGGGCGCGAGCGCGGGAGGACGCGGGCGGGGGCG